CCCCCTCCGCCTCGCCTACGCGACATCGCGCGCACCCCCTCCCCTGCCATCCCTTCATTTCTCTTCATTTTTCACTCCCCTGCCCCCCTCCTCCGCCCACGACACGGCGCGGCGCCGCCATCCATGCGGCTCGTCTTTCTCGACGACCCATTGTTTCCAGCCAAAGCCGCCCTCTTTTCTGCCTGGAAGAATCTTCTGCTTTACAGATCTCGTTCAAGAGCAACGGACATTTCAATGCTTATTTCGGATTGGCGGTGAGGTGGCAACCTCGTCGACGAAATTGGAAGAAAGTGCGAAAAACACCTGCATTTGTAATTTTGTTTTAGGATTGGCGGCGTTATGACGTGAGCTACGAGTTTCCCAGACCACCGTCTCCGCTTCGCCCTCCTGCCACCGCCCGCCGCACGTCGCGCGCCGCCAGTCTGCCACAGTCACCTTCCTCATCTCACCTCTCCTCCGTACGTAAGCAAACACACAAACAAACAAACAAACGTTTCGCGTCGTTCGCACCTGCAAGATTTCATTCATCATTGAATTTAAAGAAAATGCCTGAGTGGTACATTAAAAAGTTGAGTTAAAATTATCAGTTCGCGCTTCACGGTTTTTGAAAAGTGTTGTGTTGATTTGAAGGTTAGAGGCACAGCCTCCACCGCCGCCGGGTGCTATCGTACTTCCGTCCTTGTCGCTCTCATCGGTGACTGGCATTACGTCAGAGATGGAGGAGAAGACTAGCCACTGCAGAATCGAAATCACCCACCTGTCACCTGTTGGATTCTTACAAAGGTAAGTTGTGATCGGTCGAGTGATTCCAGGAAAGAGCAACGGGCGTCTCGTACGTGTGCACCACAGTTCAGAAACTTCTGTTAACATGCATGGTAACAAAACCTGTCTGAGACAGTTCAACTTTTTCACGCATATGTGCATTTTCTTTTATAAATGGCTAGTGGTATATGCTGAGTTGAGAGTTCCATAGTGTACAATGTTCAATCACTTGTAACCGACAAGTTACATGAAATGTCTGCAGGCATTTTGATTGCGTGTGCCCCCCCCTTTCCCCTGTGAAACCTTTTGTCTGTGTTGTAGAGTCGCGCTGACGCGTTGAAATTTGAATCAGCTCTACAGCCCCTCCTAGTCATAGTCTCTCCCACCGCCGCCCTTGCGCCGCCACGCCGCCGCTCGACGACTTACTACAGCGGTGATGTCGCGTCGATCTCGCGTCGCGGCCCTCGCCCCCGCCGTCGCCGAGGTCGTCGCCGTGTCTCACCCTTTGATCCCCCTCCCGCGCTAGTCGGCCGCCCCTCCTATACCCCCCGACACAACGGCGCTGCTTGTTTCCTCTGACACCTTAATAGTGACGCCGTATCTGTAGCGGGGGAGGGGCGGTGCGCCGCGGTGCGGAAGGGGATGAAGAGTTACCACCCCCGTCACTCGCGCGCCATCCCCCTCTCCCCCCTCTCCCATCCTAAAAAAAATCCCACTACTGAATGCAGTAGCAGCATAGAAACAAAAATGTAACCTATTCTGGTCTAACTA